CCACTAGACTGAATGGAATGGCAGCGACGAGAGCCAGTCCGCACGGGGCTCAAAGGTAGGGCAACCAATCCGTGTGGAATAGGGCGGGGCCTGTTAGGCACTAGGGGCGGGCGGTGCCGTATTCCCGCCGAAGGAATGAGGGAAAGAGCCGTAAAGTGCCGCGGTGAGTGCTGCAAAACGGGGCGGAGCAACGTGCGCCGGCACTGGAGGCCTTGTGGGTAAGAGCGCATGCTCATGTGAAACCCTCGCTGATGTGGGCTCCACACTGTGGACAAAACTGGTTATTCTTTACACCTTGCAATTGGAGAAACCGAGGCTCCATGGTTATTAGGAAGTGCCTTCGGGCTCCTGACTCTTCTTTCTTTTTTGTTTTGTTTTGTTTTGGGGGGGGCTCCTACTCTTCTGATGCTATTGTAGTTGTTCCTTATCCAAGGCACATATTTTGGTAATTTGCCCCTCCGAACCTTAGTTATCCACCCTATAAAACCAGTGTAATGATAGAGTCTGCTCTATAGAAGGTTTCGGTGAGAATGAAACGAGTTAAGCCACTTTGGACAACATCTGGCACATACTCAGCACAATGAATGCATGGGCATACAATAAATACTTATTGAGCACCTACTACTTGCTTACTCTTGGAAACACAAGTGAACAGACCTGACAGAACTGGCTCTCCTCGGGCTTAGGAGACGGTTGGGGAGACAGACGGTAAACAAAATGAGTAGGTAAATGTATTCTTTCCTTGGGCTGCTGTAACAAATTACACAATAGAAACCTGAAAGCAAGGTGTCAGCAGGGTTGCTTCCTACAGAAGGCCCAGAGACACAATTCATTCCATGCTGCTCGCCCAGCTTCTGCTAGCTGGCAAGCTTTGTAGTTTCTTGGCTTGTGGACACATCACTCCAATATCTTTTTCTTCATACGGCTTCTCTGTGTGTGCCTGTGTCTAAATTTTTCCCTCCTTTCTATTACACGGACAGTCCTTTTTCTTAATAGAACCACTCTAAATCTAGGATAATGTCACCTCAAGATCCTTAATTACACCTGCAAAGACCTTATCTCTCTATATATAAAAGGCTAAGTGACCGATGGTACGTAAGTCCGATTGTTTGACCCACCGGTACATATGATGCACACTGGCAATTTAAAAATAAACGTTGACTCACGCATGTGCAATACATATAAAGCTCTCGCTCGCACCAATTGCATGCAACGCCAGAATGTATCTGAAGACCAACTATTGGCACTTTGTTGTTGTTATATCATGTTGTTTATTTATTAATCAATTTATCAATCATTGTTTTTGTCAATGTTTTTATATCATGTTGTTATTGTTTGTTTATTAATCAATTTATTATTTTCATATACATTCTACTAATTTTCTTTCATCTTGACATTTCTATTATAGAGAAAGGGTGAATAGTGATATTAAAATATTTTGTATTTTAATTTTATAATACTATCTATACTATTTTTATATGTAGTTTCTTGCAGTAATGTAATTACTGCACAAATCTTCTAATTAATTTCCTTTAAATGTGCACGAATTCCTGCACTGGGTCACTAGTTTCAAATGAGGTCATACTTACAGGTACCGGGGCTTAGAACATATCTGTCATTATGTTAGTGGATTGGCCAATGACTGACCCCATATAAAGTGCCAGACACTTGTTACCAACAGTTGTCCTTCATGCTTTAGTTTGGAGGTCCTGAGATGAGTACTCAAGGTCACATAGTGTGTTCAGGGGGTGACTCCAGGATGCCCCCATTGGGGGTGGAGACCTGATACAGGAAGGGAAGGATCCTGCTGGGGGCACCAATAAGAAGATGACACAGAAAGCAAGCGGAGGTCAGTCCAGCTGGGACAACAGCATAAGAGCTCATGTCTCATTGTGGTCCCACCCAGGGTCAGGGCAGCTGAAGCATTTATTATCCAAGTCCCATCTATCATCAGTTCAAGGCTTCCCCCAGGGGAGCTGGCGAAGTCTGGGGTGTGTGCAGGATGTTGACAGGCAGTCAACAGTGATGCCCTAACTGTGTTAGAGGGATCAGGATGAACTGCCAATCTTGGTTTGTTAGGGTAAAGGCTACTTGATGTAAACATCAGAAACTGGGGTGCATGGAGTGCCCCAGCATTAATATGGTGGTGGAAGTAGGAAGAAAATCTTGTGCTGCATTACTCCTTTCTGACTTTTCTATGCAGAGGCTTTCTTCTTTTTAATATATTTTTATTGATCTCAGAGAGGAAGGGAAAGGGAGAGAGAAATGTCGACGATGAGAGAAAATTATCGATCCTCTGCCTCCTGCACGCCCCCTACTGGGGATCGAGCCCACACGTGCCCTGACGGGGAATCGAACCCTGACCTTCTGGTTCATAGGTCAATGCTCAACCACCCAGCTACAACAGCTGGGGGAGGCTTTCTTCTTTTGCCCAATTGGCAAACTCCTATTCACCCTTGAAAACTCTGCTTGGGTGACCCCGTGTGGTAGAGTGAGGTCACTGCGGTTTTTGTAGGTCCTTTCAGCATAGGGTGGCCAGAGTTCTCCAATCCCCTGGGCATAGTGATTGATTAAAAGGGAAGCACATGACCAAGCAAGGCCAATTAGAATCTCCCTTGAGTCCAGCTGACGTGGCTCAGTGGGTGAGGTCAACCTATGAACCAGGAGGTCATGGTTCCATTCCTGGTCGGGGCACATGCCTGGGTTGCTGGCTTGATCCCCAGTGTGGGGTGGAGGCAGCTGATCAATGATCATACATAAGAGCTGCTTGGTGGACAGGGTGGCATGGTTTGAGCCCCTGAATCCAGCTATGCCTAAAGCCATTAGGTCTGACTTTCCATTTACGTGAGCCCAAGAAGTTCATTATTGCTTCATCCACTTGGAGTTTGGATTCTGTCCCCCGAAATGAACCCGCACTGATGCGTAGCTGCTTCGTGGACTCTTCAATGACTGACCCCAAAATCTAATCATTCCCTCTCTTATACTTTGAACTTTGGTACCTTGCATAGATTTTCATTATTACCTGGTGTGTGGCACATTTAATTGTGCTTTTGCACACTTAGGCCTTCTGGACTCTGACTTGTAGGAGCAAAAACATGAGAGGTTGCGTGGGCCACTATTTGAGGGAGTCAGCATAGTTCCTTCTCCCCTCTCCTCATGGACACATGTCCCTGGCTCAGCCAATTAGAGGGCTGTCCTAGGCTGGTGCTGGAATTGCAGCGTTAGAGTAATGTCATTCAGGTACAGACATGGCCATCTCTCCATTTCAGAGTCTCGGCCCTGTTTAATTCTGTACCTGATGCTTCGTGAATCCCTATCCTTTCTTATCTCTTGAACCAATACTCCTATTTTTTTCATTCCAGTTGAAATTGTATTTCTGACAGCAAAAACTTTAAGAGTGAGGACCAATGTACCTATCAAATTAACAAAAATATCCTACCCTCCACTAAAAAAAGGGGGGGGGGACATTGTAAAACCCAGTGCTAGCAAGGTTATGGTGAAACCAGTGGACATATATTTTCTTCTAAGTGGGGGAAATGGCATTATGTCTCAGAATCCGTAAAAGCGTCACACCCACTCAGTAATTCATTTTGACAATTTATACTGGTCACCACAACATGAGGAACTGTATTAAAAGGTCATGGCATTAGGAAGATTGAGAACCACTGATCTATACTAATAATAGAGGAATATGCAAATTGTCCAGGATGCTGTCCTGTAACAACCAATCAGGATGGGAGCAGGGCCGTGGCTGAGAGCTCTCAGCACGCCTGCACCAGGGGTCCGAAGGGCATGGAGAGGAAGGGAGAGCAGATAGGCAGTTAGGGCAATCAGGCCAGAGCAGATAGGCAGTTAGGAGGATCAGGCCAGGAGAGGAGAGAAGATAGTTTTTTTTTTCATCCTTTTCTGTTTTGTAGTTTACTGAAAGCTTCCTTTTGTATGTAGTAATCTCAATAGAAAAATTTTCAACAGCCAATATTAGAATTTTTTTTATCACAGCTATAGGCTGTAGCACTGATTTCTCCAGATACCAACAGAGAACAGCAAAATTGTATGCACTGTTAATTCCAGATTCTAAGAAAACTGTCCCAAGAGCCTGTTGCCACAGCCATGCCATCGTCAGTTACTGTCGGAGACCACCTATCGTCTTCACTAGCAGAGAAGAGTAGAGACCCCCAAAAGCTGGTGACCTTTGAAGCCCTAGCAAAGGTCGGAGCTGTGCACCACCCAGTTAATCCAGATAATGGTAGCTGAAGCAACCTCCCCACCTTTACTCATGTAAATCCTTATTGATAAGATAGTCTGTGTGTCACTGAAACCTCCCTACCTAAGGGCTATCCCATACCAATAAAAGCTTGGTGAGGCCTGAGCTCCAGTGGAAGTCCCTCTCCTTGAGTTAGACTTGCCCGCCTGGTCCCCCAATATTTCCAAATTATCTCATGTCTTTTCTCTTTCATTTATGTGCGGCTCCTCTTCCAGACCCGAACCCTAAACCACGGAGGACGTGGGGGGAAACACACAAGTTACACCCAGACAGCTGACCCGGTTGTCATGACCAGCAAGAACACCTGCACGATCTCCTTTTAGTGTGTCCCACACGTTACAATTGAAGTCGTCATAACTAGCTAACAGGAGACGCCCACTTTTTGAGAAGGCTACAGAGGTGATCCCACAGATAATATTATCATGAGAATACAATAATAACTCTTGGTCTGCATGAAGGTCAAAGAGACGGCAAGTGGCATCATCGGAGCCAGTGGCAAAGGCATAGCCATTTGGAAAAAAACTGACAGCATTAATATCTGACACATGTCCAGAGAAAGACTGTCTACACATTCCATCTCGAATATCCCATAAGTTGGAAGAGGCATCACAAGCACCAGAAACAAAAGTCCTCATGTCAGGACTCAAAGAAAGACTCATCACATCTCCAGAATGCCCAGTGAATGTGGTGGTCTGCTGGGCAGTTTCAATGTCCCATAGGGCACTGCAATTAAAAATGAAAAAATAATGACCATTATATCTTCTTACATTAGTTCCTACTATCACCCTCAACACCCAAATCAGTGTTCTTCTGAAATAAACTTACCAATTTGTATCTCCTGAACTTGTAACAATTTGGCTGTAGACCTCAGAAAACACATATATAATTACATATTGTTTTTGTGATTAATCACTATGCTTTAATTATGTTCAATTTGTAAATGAAATTGGGGGTCACCACAACATGAGGAACTGTATTAAAGGGTCATGGCATTAGGAAGATTGAGAACCACTGATCTATACTAATAATAGAGGAATATGCAAATTGTCCAGGATGCTGTCACGTAACAACCAATCAGGATGGGAGCAGGGCCATGGTGGAGAGCTCTCAGCATGCCTGCACCAGGGGGCCGAAGGGCGCGGAGAGGAAGGGAGAGCAGATAGGCAGTTAGGAGGATCAGGCCAGGAAAGGATAGCAGATAGGCAGTTAGGGGGATCAGGCTGGCAGGGGAGAGCAGTTAGGGCTATCAGGCCGGCAGAGGAGCAGTTAGGGGCATCAGGCAGGCAGGCAGGTGAGTGGTTAGGAGCCAGTGGTTCTGGATTGCGAGAGGGATCTTGGATTGGAGAGGGTGCAGGCTGGGCTGAGGGCCCCTCCGCCCCCTGCATGAGCCTGCAGTAGTCTTTTTTTTTTTTTTTTTTTTGGGTTGTTTTATGGTG